TTACATAAACTGGGTATATTCATTTGGGAGGACGTGTTTAAGACATGTTTTAGAAGTACGTGTAATAACATGGGAAAGTGCTGTCATTGTATTATGTGAAAAAAATTAGTTTACAAAATAGTCACTTATTAAAAGTGTGGAAAAAGATACACCAAAGTATAAAAGTTGGTTATCTCTGGAAGGTATGTTTTATATTTTCAGGTTTTTTATAGAGAACATGTACTGATTTTATAATCTAAAAAGATTCATGTGCAAAAATTAAGGAAAAATTGGTTTTCTAGATATGGTTCCAGAAATGTAGTAAGAGACATGAGATTCGTAATGGTCTCCAAAACATGTGTCAACCAAAATGTATGATTGCATGATGATTATATTGAACTTAATTATATAAATTGCATTTAGGAACTGCAAAATGATTCATATATTAAAGCAAGCCAGTAATTTCTGGTTTTATTATTCTTACTTGTATGTAAAGTACTTTTAATTTTAAAATGTTTTGAAAAGTAACATGGTTTTGGCACATGACAGCACTAAAACAGAGTAAAGACTAGAATTAACTCAAATATATATGAGAACTTAATACAGGTTGAGCATCCCTTATCCAAAACTCCATAATCTGAAATCCTTCAAAATCTGAAATGTTTTGAGCACCAACAGGATGCCACAAGTAGAAAATTCCACACCTGACCTTGTTATAGTGGGTCGCAGTCAAAACTTTGTTTCAGGCTGGATGCAGTGGCTCATGTCTGTAATCTCAACACTTTGGGAGGCTAAGGTAGGAGGATTGCTTGAGCCCAGGAATTCGAGACCAGCCTAGGCAACATGGAAAGACCCTATCTCTACAAAAAAATACAAAAATTAGCCAGGCAGGGTGGTACACGTTTGTGGTTCCAGGAGGCTGAGGCAGGAGGATCGCTTGAGCCCAGGAGGTGAAGTCTGCAGTGAGTCATGATTGTATGACTGCGTTCCAGCCTGGGCAACAGAGCAAGTTCCTGTCTCAAAAACAACCAAAACAACTTTGTGTCATGTGTAACATTATTTAAAATTATATAAAATTACATTCAGGTTTGGTCCCATCCTCAGGATATCTCATGTATTTGCAAATATTCTAAAATCTGAAAAAATCTGAAATATTTCTGGTCCCAAGCATTTTAGATAAGAGATATTCAACTTGTGTATGAAAATGGATCCCACCTTCATTTATGAGTAGGGAAAAGGATAATTATTTAATAGTGTTGGGATAGCCAGTTAGTCATCTGGAAAAAGAATGTTGGCTTCCAGAGGAGTTAAAGATTTAAATATGAAACAACGAAACAAAAAATGTAGGGTAATTACTTTTTACATAATCCAGGATTGGTGAAGTCCTTTAATAGCATACTAGATTGCTGGATTTTAGGACATAAAAATAAAATTCTGTATAGGGGGAAAAATCAAACAAAGTTAAAGAGAAACAGACTAGTAAAACTTATTTGTATACTTCGCAAAGGGCTAAGTTCCTCTTAATACAAAGAACTAGAAAATAATCCAGTAGAAAAATTAGCAAAGAGAATTCATATGAAAAGATGTACAATTTTATTTATAATATAATAAAGATGTAAATTAAAGCTTCAACATACTCTTTGTCACCTATCAAATGAGCAAAGGTTATGTATAGTATAACTCGGGAAGGGTGAGAAGAAGGGAAAATGGTCAGCCTGGTGGGATTATAAAGTGTTCATATTCTATAGAAAGCAGTTTGAAAATGGTTTCCAAAATTTAAAACACAGATATATTTTGTTCTAGTAATTCCATTATAGGATTTTATTCTCTAGAAGATTTTGCATATATGTCAAATAAATATGTAAGAATATTTGTGGCAGCATTATTTGTTACTGCAAAAGATGGGAACCAAGCTAAACATGTATCAGTAGGGAAGTAGTTGGGTGAATTATGGTATATGTATTCTACAAAATACTAGTCAGCCTTTAAAAGTAATGAGAGAACATTATGTGTACTGCTGTGGTGCCATGTCTAAGACACGAGGAAAAAAAGCAAGAGGCATGACTGCATGGGCAGTTTGCTGCCATTTGTGTGGTTAAAATATGTATTTTTTGTATACTATATATGCCTATGTATTAGAATAAAATTCTTTATTATAATAAAATCCATATATATATATGGGCAAATATAGAATGTAATGTGCATGGGAGGATACGGGAGAGTCTGATGACAGTAGTTGCCTCCAGTGTGTAGAAGTGGTTGCCTAGAGGACAAAGGTGGACTAACTTTTTAAGTACACGGTTTGGTAATTTTTCAGTATTTTAAAATCACGTGCATGTAAACTATTCAAAGTTAATATTTTTAAGTTATGTTTTGCTTACAGGAATTGGTAAGAAATTAAAAATAGAAGACCATAATAGTTGTTACAAAAGAATGATTACTGCAATACTGTTTTTAACTTTAGGTATTGTTAGAAATCTTCTAATTCAAAGTTTTCAGTTGCTGTTACATGGCTCACAGAAGGGTAGTCCTAGTGGAATGGGGGCTGAAGGAAGGCATTGGGGTTCCTGTGAACAGATAGCATGGTGAGTGACAACCAGCAGTTACTGCTCCTTTTGATATTTTAAGTGCATTAAATGAGGTGTGCCTTACTACTTGGAATCTACTTCAGCAGCCAGCCACAGTGTACAGCTGCCTCTTGTGGGAAAGGGATCATGGAATTGTTACTGGAGTTTGTATTCACGTGCCAAAGGAACATGCCACCTACCACAAGGTGCAACCCACTTACAGTGAGAGGACAAGGAAGCAGGGAGGGTGTCCCTGGTGGCCCAGCTCCAGGCCTCACTGTCTGTATTCACCTGTATTGGATGCTGCTCATCATATGCGTTTGATGTGCTCTGCAAGGTGACTGCCTAATAGTGCATGTATGTTTGTCAGAAATAAAGCATGATTTTAATTTTGAGATATTCTTGATGGGAAAAAGTTTGGTTTTGAAATTCATATTAAAATTTTCAGCATTACATATGTCAAAAAATATCTACCATAATACTTTAAATTTTATCTTCTGTACTTAGAAAATATAATTTTTTTTCACCAGGCACTATGTAGATGCCTCCAGATGCCCTCCTGTTGTCCCAGTGTGCTAAAATTTTTTTTGCTAACAAGTTTTATTTGCAATGTTAAAAGGGGTGAGAAACATCATTCTAGTCAAATGTACTCGTTTTACATAAAGAAAACAAATCTACATAGCAGGCTCAGGGATTTGTCCAGTGTCCTAGTGTTGGTTGGTGTGAGGCTGGATTTGAAAATGGGGGATCTTGGATCTTGACTCTTCAGCTCTCATCTCCTCACACTGACCTCCTCTCCCCCCAAAACATGAGGGAATGTTGGAGGAAGGCATTGATAATAATTGAAAGACAAAAATACAGAACCTCAGAGGAATTATTAAAAGAACTGCACATATGTAGTTCAGAAATCTTTGAGACCCTACGGTGTCTAATAGTGCTTAGAATCTTCTTATATAATAATATGTAATATATATTATTATATATAATAATATTAATCTTCTATAATCTAGAATAGATTATGGTAGGATTTGTTTTATGATGATTTGGCTGTATCTTTAAGAAAACAAGATTATAGCAAAAGGAGTTTAGGGCAAACATAAACAAAAATTGATACTAAAATTGTATGTATGCAATTTCCAAAAAAGGAAGGAGGGAATATATGAAACCTTTCAAGTTCCTCTGGTGCTATAATTAAATAGTCTCTCATCTTGCTTTTGATTGGATTAGAATTCACTCAATTAAAGATAATCTAGGGCTGGGCACCTATAATCCCAGCACTTTGGGAGGCAGAGGCAGGAAGATTGCCTGAGCCCAGGAGTTTGAGACCAGTCTGGGCAACATGGCAAGACCCTGTCTCTTTAAGAAAAAAAAAAGAAAAGATAATCTAAGTGAAAAATGATTCAAGTTTAAATAGGTTGGGTTAAAGTAGGTTTTAGAGGATATTGTCATTGGCACTGGATATTTCAAAGAAATATAACTTATTTATAAAGTGAGAAATGGGCTGTGGTATGGGGTATGTCACTTTGGTATCTGGCTGCCATTTTAACATCATAGTGATAATAAGAGGAAATAATGGGAGTTAAGGAACAGTGAACTTTGGGTGAAATTGTGTTAACTTGTAATTTCCATGTAAATACAGATAAGGCAGGAATGAGTGTCTTAGGCAATTAGAAAGAACTGTGTCTACTGTCCAAACATAAATATTATAAGTAAAAGTAAGTAAAAGTAAGACCCTCTTAATGACAGCCTATTTAACCTTTTTAGTGTTTTTGTTTGGTGTGTGTGTTTTCTGTCATTCCTTCTAAGTTTTCCAGATGATCTTGTGTTTCTTCCAGCTCTCTGTAGGTTTTTAAATATTTCATTTTATAAATGAAAAATACTTTGTTGCTTAATTAGGATTGGTAAACTGGACTGTTTTCTGTAGCAGAAATTGAATACACGCCTAGCAAAGTAAATTCTGAGAAAAATGAGTAGTAATTGTCAATGGAAAATTTCGTGTTTTTTTTTGCTTTTTGGCCAATTATATTTTCTTTTTGGATGATAGTTTTGGGAAATACTAAGAATTTGAGCTCAATTTACTTTGGGGCAGTTATTTAATTTTCTTTGGGTTCAAAGATCATTACTATATAAACAATTCAAATAGTAAAAGAAAGTGTGTTACCTCAAAAATGCCTTGTGTAATATGTAACAGTTCACAAGATTTCTATTTTTCTTCCATTTATTACAATTACCAAGGAAGTATAACAAGAATTAAAATAAATATATTGTTTTGCATATATATTTTTATACTTCAGAGTAATTTATATACTAAATTAGGTTTTGTTTGAGATGGTGAAATGAAAGACTGTGTAAATAAGAATACATGTTGATATGTGAAAAATGTACAGTTAAAACATGTTGGCATACTCCTAGTTTCTCAGAACAAGAAAATGACTAATCTAAATTTCATTTCAGAATAAAACCCAAGACAAGCCACATAAAAGCAACTTAAAAATTAAACTGTCATCATATTATTTGTTTTAAAACTATGGAATAATATATCTGAGGAAGATTTCTCTCAAAATTGTTTTTCTCAATTTCAAGTAAGTAATTTATTTTGGTTAATATATTGGGGGTGAGGGGGGTGGGGGTGAGCCTTGGCATTGAAGTTGGTAAATCCTACTCATCCTTGAGTAACAACTTAAATATCAACCTCTAAAGCCTTCTGTGACTCCTTTGCCCATTCCCAAAGATTATCTCCTTGGTTTTCCAAGTCTTCGTCCCCTTCCACATTGCTGTTAAACGATCTATTACAATGAATATTGTGTTTGTCTCTAAGAATAGTCATGTGGCGCTATCTTCATGGGCCCCACCTCATACTTCTCAACCCCACTGCCTTCTGTTGCTGAGAGATCCTGAGCAAGTTATTATACTTATGTTAGCATTAATTTCCTCCTCTGTAAAGTGAGTTTTAATAATTTCTACAGCACAGCGTTGTTATGATTGAATAGATAACCAGCAAATGTCTGGCATATATAGTAACATAAATGTTACTTATGTTACTTTACCTGTCATCTCCAGAATCTGCTACATTACCTCATATACTGAATGCTCTTTAAAATGTTTGAATTGAAATGAAAGATGGAATTTTTCCTCACATTGGGAGAAACTAAAACATCTGCACATTGTGGTGTGAGACTTTTTACATTTGGTTAGTGACATATCTACAGGTTAGGTAATTGCCTGTTTAAAAACACTTTTTAAAAATGTGGCTGTATTTTATAAGTGGTCCATCAGGGCCTGAAAAGAACCTTATTTTCCAAAGCCATCAGTAGTGCCTTAAAAAAAAAAAAAAAAAACATGATTGAACATGTTGAAAGTATGTATTCTAGATGTCACAGTAAAAGTGACATTTCAATAGGATTTATTGCTCTCTTGTGAATTTGTAACACACACAAAAATGGAAGCCTTTGTATTTTAAACCTGCTTAGGATTGTGGAATGTGGACTAAATGATTTATTATTGCCCAGAGCTTCACCTCTCATCACCATGTATTTTCTACATACATTCCTAGGTTTTGTTTAACAACATTGTCTTTTAATTTTTTTTTTTTTTTTTTTTTTTTTTGAGATGAAGTCTCACTCTGTCACCCACACTGGAGTGTAGAGGCGCAATCTCAGCTCCGTGCAACCTCCACTTCCCAAGTTCAAATGATTCTCCTGCCTCAGCCTCTCAAGTAGCTGGAATTACAGCCACGTGCCACCACATCTGGCTAATTTTTGTATTTTTAGTAGAGATGAAGTTTCACCATGTTGGTCAGGCTGGTTTCAAACTCCTGACCTCAGGTAATCTGCCCACCTCGGCCTCCCAAAGTTCTGGGATTACAGGCGTGAGCCATCACCACACCCCCCGGCATGTCTTTTAATTTTTAAATGAAGTCGTTAGAAAGGTATCCAGATTAATTATGATGTCTCACACCTTAGTTGATAATGCTTAATGTTTTGAAAATAGAAGCCATGTTATTATAGTTAAAATACCTTAATTTTACATCATTTTACTAATAGAGGTGGTAAACCATTTATTGAGTAAGGACTGTGTGCCCTGTTCTAAGCTATTTAGTTTTCACAACAGTTCTATAAAATATAACTGTTATCCCCATTTTACAGTTGAGGAAATGAGGCATAGAGAGGTTAATTTGCCTAAAGGGTTGTAGCATAATGTTTACCTCATACCATATGAGGATTAAATGAGAAAACATGTATTAGGCCATTACCCACTTAAACAGAAGAAAGAGTGAAGCAAAATCTGAGATGAGTGTCTTCTAACACTTCCAGAATTTGATAATAACCATTATTGAGATGTGACAGTGACCGTGAATATACTCTTATTCACATTTGTGTGTGTGTGTGTGTGTGTTATAGTAAACCCTGGTACTCTATTAACCCATTTTTTTTCTGACGCAATATTAATGTCTCCTCTCAAATTCGTGCTCCCATTTGGACTGAATTAATGTATATGTGTTTACAAGGTGATAGTAGAATTTTAATATCAATCTGATATGCAATTTTTATAAGTTCAGTGTAATTAAATAGTATGTAGATATATTCTCATTGTGAAATATAAAAAGCAGAACAGGTAAGGGAAAAATCTTCTTTAACCACCTATTCCCCTCTCTACTTAGATCAGCTTTTGCTGTATGATAAACCTCCCCAAAACATAGTGTTGTGAAACAATAGGCATTTGTTAGCCTGATTCTGGGCTGGGCTCAGTTAAGCGATTCTGCTGCAGCTATGAATGGCCTTGCTGATGTGGCCACAGTCAGCTGATGGGTCAGCTGGGAGCTGGTTGGTCTAGGATAGCTATGTCTGGATAATTCATACTGGTTGTTGGCTTGGGTGATGGGGGCCATGTGTCTCCAGCAGGCTAGGCATGGTTCTTTCACCTGGAGGCAGTAGTAAGGTTTACAGAAGTAACTAGTGATGGCAAGCCTCATATATTTTCTGTTGTCCATAGGCCAAAGCAGATCAACATGGCCAATTCCACAGTAGGTATGGGAGGGGTTTCCTAACGGAGTGGAGTTAATTAGGGGGCCATTACTGCAACAATCTATTATCCAACTGTTGCTGGCTAACTCATTTTTCAGGAAGCATGTGCCACTGTGGCATTGCTCCTTTCTTAAAGTAGTGATTATGTAAGCAATTTATTCAACAGTTCAGATAAATTTAGCTAATTCCTTATTCTTACTCGTTTTTATTCCATTTTCATCATCCTTCACATTATTCTTAGTTTCATTCAACTCAACAAATATTTATTGAGCACCCATTAAGTGCACAATAAGGTATCAAGAAGTGAGCAGCAGATGGAGCAAGACTACTTACTCTCTTAATCATCCGAGTTTGTTTTGTTTTGTTTTGTTTTGTTTTGTTTTGTTGTTTGAAACGGAGTCTCCCTCTGTTGCCCAGGCTGGAGTACAATGGTGTGATCCTGGCTCACTGCACCCTCCACCTCCCGGGTTCAAGCTATTCTCCCACCTTAGCCTCCTGAGTGGCTGGGATTACAGGCATGCACCACTCCACCCAGCTAATTTTTTGTATTTTTAGTAGAGATGGGGTTTTAACATATTGGCCAGGCTGGTTTTGAACTCCTGACCTCAAATGATTCACCCGCCTCAGCCTCCCAAAGTGCTGGGATTACAAGCATGAGCCACTACGCCTGACCAGTCATCCAAGTTTTTAAAAGTGGCCTACCTGTCTGCTTCATCATGTGAACAAAATTCTATAAAAGTAGAAAACTATAACAATTTTTTGAGAATGACCAACAGCCCACACCAGGCTAAATGTACCTTACTTGCTACATTTTTAAACATCTTACAAGGATTTCTTCAGATGAGAAAAACTAACACAGAGGTTGTTTTGATCTGTACTCCCACCAGCAATAGGAGACTTTTTCCATGTCTTCATCAAGATTATGTTCTCAAATGTTTTGATCATTACCAATCTAATAGATATGAAATTGATCTCAGTGTAGTTTTAATTTGCATTCCTTTTATTATGAGTGAGATTGAGTGTTTTTTCAATGCTTGAGAGGCACTTATGATATTTCCTTATCAGCGTACTGTTTATCTTTTACACATTTTCCTGTCGAGACTCTTGGTCTTTTCCTTACTGATTCCAAAGAGCCTTCATATATTAGGAAAGTTCATCTCCATCTGTAAATTGAATTCCATATGTTTTCCTCAGTTAGTTCTATGGTTGATAACTTTTTATTTAAGTAGTATCTTTTTTTCATTTCATAAATAATCTTTATATCTGAATTAGGCTTTTAAATCACATTTTAATGAAGCTAGGTTTAAGTATTAGGCATGGGAATGGAAGGAAAAGATCCTGGCATTATCAGATCTTCTGCAGAGAACTTTATAAAACTCTTGATAGTTAAAATGAAAAATTTCAAAAGGATCCTGTCTTTGATTTATTTTTTTCCTCTTCTAGGTTTGATTTTATTATGACATCAGTCCTTTTGACCAGGCAGTTCAAGCAGTAAGATCATACCCTCTGGAGGGCTGTTTTTAGATGACGAGATTGTATAGGATAGATGGAAAATACTCTATGTCACTTAGAATAAATTGTTAATAATGTTGCTTTGAGTCTTGTTAATTTCATTTTGTGTGTGTGTGTGTTTGCGTGTGTGATGTGTATAAAACATACATAGATCATGGTAGTGGTTCTAGCAATGCTCTATGCTTACATACAGTCTTCCCTCAGTATCCATCCCTTAGTATCTGGAGGATTCATTGCAGGAACCCCTGAGGATACAAAAATCTACAGATGCTCAAATCCCTTATATAAAATGGTGTAGTATTTGCATAAAATAACCTAAGCATATTCTCCTGTATAGTACTTGAAATTATCACTTACACCTAATACATTATAAATGCTGTGTAATAATTGTGATACTGTATTGTTTAAGGTAATAATAACGAGGAAAAAATGTTTGTGCGCATTCAGTACAGATGCAACTATTTCCCTGAATATTTTTGATCCGTGATTGGTTGAATCCACAGATGTGGAACCCACAGATACGGAGGCCAGCTATATAATTTTCAGTCTGTTCAGCCAACCTTGACCTCATCAACCACATGTTAGGATGGCTAGATTAGAGTAGCCCTTAGCAGTGGACCACATAGAAGAAAAACACGCAGAATGTAGACTTTTTTGAGAATGCGGTAATGCTACCTACTGCCCAAATAATGTCCTAGCTTTTTCTGAGATTGTGGGGAGCCAGGAAGAAGGTGGCAGAGACATCTGTGACCTCTTGTGCCACATCTGACATTATGAAGTACTTTGACCTTTTCCCTTGACTTTTGTATAAAAAGATATTAGAAAACTGTGAGGCTGTACAGATAATCATGTTTTGAGTAATTTAATGCAGTTTTAAACATTTTAAAGTTGTCAAACCCTTTCTTCTTATGTAATTTTACCCAGCAGCATCAAAAACAAATAGGAATCCTTAAGTGATTGGTGGGGCATGACAGAAAGCCAGTATTTTTAACCATGCTTTACATAGTTTCTAGTTTTTAAAAGTTATTGAGGTATTCTTTGGCGTT